TCAGTCTGGAGCTTAATGTGCACCTGATCTGGGCTATGGTCTTCGCAATTATTTGCTATGCATTAGAAAGATGGACAATGATTAGAGATGATAAGAGAGTTGATGCCTTTGAACTGTAGTGCTAGAGAAGAGTATTGAATATACCATGGACTGCTAGGAGAAGTATTGAATATACCATGGACTGCTAGGAGAACATACAGGTTCATCCTAGAGAGGGTGAAACCAGGCTGCTCCTTGAACTCAAGGATTCTGAGTCTTCATCTGACATACTGTGGACTGTTGCAAGGAGTGACCAGTCCTTGGAGAGAGACATCATATTTGGAAATATGAAGGGAAATCACAAGAGAGGAAGACCCTGGATGAGATGGCTTGACCAGAGTGGCTGGGGTAACGGGGTAGGTGTGTCAGACAGTAAGGTTAGCTCAAGATAGAGCAGGGTTCCCGCTGTTGTGCATAGGGTTACTATGAGTTGCAAGTGACTCAATGGCTCATAACAACTATGTTCAAAATGTACGCTGAGGGGGGCTCTGGTGTCCTAGTGGCAAGAAGCTCCACTGCAGTCCCAAAGGCCTGCGGTTTGAATCCACCAGATGCTCCGCTGGAGGAAGAGGGGCAAACTCTTCCTGTGCCAGTCCGATCTGATTTGACAGTACACAAGAAGAAAAAGGAAAAAGAAAAGAAGAGAAAAAGGTATGTTGAGTAAATTGCTCAGAAGCTGGATTCTATGAAGAAGAATGTGGCATCAGGATTGGAGGAAGACTCATCAGTAATTTGTGTTAGGCAGATGACAGAGTCTTGCTTTTTGAAAGTGAGTAGGACTCGAAACATTTGCTGCAGATGATTAAAGCGTGCAGCCTTTAATATGGACTACATCTCAGTTTCAAGAACCAGTAGGCAGCATCATGACAGATGGTGAAAGATTGTGGTTGTCAATGATTCTGCTTTTCTTGGATCAACTGTCAACACTCTCGTTACCAGCAGTCAGGAAATGAGGAGACATCCTGCTTTGGGCATGTCTGCTGTCAGAGACCGCTCCGAAATACTGAAGAGCAGTAGTGTCGGTTTGAAGTCTAAGGCAGACAATGATGTTTTCAGTTACTTGCTGTTCCTGAGAGTTGGAGAGTGAGTAAGGACGACAGAAGAAGAATTGATGCTTTTGAGTTGTAGTGTTGGACAACAGTGAATATCCCATAGACTGCCAAAAAACAAGTGAGTATATCTTGGGAAAAGTGAACCCAGAGTGCTCCTTGGAGGCAAAGATGGCAGACCTTCGTTGGTCTACTAGACTTTGGGCATGTTGCTAGAATGGGCTTGTCGGACTGCTGTCAAGGATAGCTTTACAGTGCTAAGCAGTAAGGATGTCAGTTAAAGGCTAAGGTGTTGTGATGCAGGCTATGGTACTTTCGTTTGCTGTGCCTCTGAAGGTTGGACAGTGAAGAAGGATGACAGAAGACCGATGCCTTTTTGAATTACGGTTTTGGTGAAACCATACATCTTGGACAGCCAAAAGAATATTTCTTGCGGAAGATGTAACCGAACTGCTTCTTGGAGGGAAGGCTAGCAAAGCTTCATTTCTCCTGCTTTGGGTGTGTTGTGAGGAAGGAGTCAGGCTTTGGAAAACAACGTCATGCAGGGCAAGAAGAGCCTCATCAGGATGGACCGAGCATGGCAGAGGCGGGAAGGCCGGCACACGTCCTTTGACTGCACCTAGCGTCAGCAGGAAACTGTGTTTGACAGACACCTCTGTGTTTCTCGGTATAGAAGACTGAACCACACTGACTGCTCCCGAGTCCTCACGCATAGCACCCGCCACTTATTTTTGAGGCTGTGTCTTTAGGAGAGGATCGCGCCTGCGTTTCGCCCATGGAGCAGCTCGCTGGTGGTTTTAGACTGCTGGTCCTCGGGCTGGCAGTCTGCTCCACAGTGCACTGCAGCACCAGAGTTCTTTCCTGGTGGGCACCTGCTTTATGTGCTGGGTCGTAAGCCAGTGTCCTGAGAGGTAGGTGCTGACCGCACTTCACTCCTCACAGTTGTTCCAGCCTCCATCTCTGGGTTGTCTCCTACGTGACAGATTAAAAGTGACTTCTAGGGGAGCTCTGGTGGCCTAGTGGCAAGGAGCTGCAACTACAATCCCAGAGGTGAACAGTTCGAATCCACCAGATGCTCTGCCAAGTAAGGAGGGACAATCTCCTCCTGTACCAGTCAGATCTGATTTGACGGTACACGCACACAAAAATAATAAAATTAAAAAAAAAAGTGACTTCTAATTCTTCACCTGTGTGTATAAATGCACATATTACCCTTTTTTTTGGGGGGGGGCACTATTTTTGTTTTTGTTAGGTGCCATCTGGTCAAGTATGACCCTTAGCAACACTATGAAAAACAGATCTGACCTCCATCCTATCCTGTGTCATCTTCACATTTCCTGACACATTAGAGCCCATTGCGGCAGTCACCGTATTAGTCCACCTGGTTGAGGGTCTTTCTCTCCTTCACTGACCCTTCACCTTTTAGAGCATCATGTCCCTCTTCAAGGAGTAACCCCTCCTAGCAACAAGCCTGAAGTATGTGAGGTGAAGCCTCATCATCTTTTCCTCCAAAGAGCACTCTGGCTGCACCATCTCCAAGGCACATTTGTTTGTACTTTTGGCAGTTCATAGGATGTTCAGTGCTCTTCTCCAACACCACACTGCTCAAAGGCATCAGTTCTTCTGTCCTCTTTAGTCATTGTCTAGCTCTCAGATCTGAAGGACCATGGCCTCAGTCAAACACATCTTAGTCCTCAAACTTACATCATCACTCCTGAATAATTTTTAAAGGCCCCTAACTATAGACTTCTAGTGCAGTATGTCTCCTGATTTTGTGACTGCTGATCCCAAGGGTGTTAATTGTGTATCCAAGTAAGATGAAGTTGTTGACAGTTTCAGTCTCCATCTCTCATGATGTCGTCTCGGTTCAGAGTTGTCTTGTCATTGAGATGTAGTCCATAGTTAAGGCTGTGTTCTTTGATCCTCTGCAGCAAGTGCTTTAGATTCTCACTTACAGCAAGCAAGGTTGTGTCATCTGCACGATGCTCATTATTCGTGAGCCTCCCTCTGGCCCTGATGCCACATTCTCCCCATAGAGTCCACCTTCTTGGATTATTTGCTCAGCGTTCATATTGAAGAGGTATGGAGAGAGGATACAACCCTGATGCACCCCCTTCCCAATTCCAAGCCATGCAGTGCTCCCCTGCTCCATCCGCACAGCAACCTCCTGGTCCACGTGTAGGTTCCACATGAACACAATCAAATGCTCTGAGATTCCTATTCTTCTCAGTGTCAGCCACAACTTGTTATGGGCCACACAAACACCTTTGCGTAGTCAATAAAGCACAAGTAGACAGTCTTTTGATATTCTTTACTTTCAGCCAGGATCCATCTGACATCTGCAGTACAGTGATATCCTTGGTGCCACAGCCTCTTCTAAAGCCTGCTTGAACTTCTGGCAGTTCCCTATCTGTGGACTGTTCAGGCCGTTTTTGAATGCTTTTCAGCGGTATTTTGCTTGCATGTGATAGTAATGATATTGTTTGATAGCTTCCACATTCTGTTGGATCATCTTTCATGGGAATGGGAACAAATGTGGACTTCTTCCAGTCTGTCAGCCAGGCTGCTGTTTTCCAAAATCCTGGCATAGACTGGTGAGCACATCCAGGGCTACATCTGTTAATTGAAACAAGTCACTTGGTACCGCATCAATTCCTGGGGTCTTACTTTTTGCTAATGCCTTCAGTGTAGCTTCCACTTCCCTTCATTACCACTGGCTCCTGCTCATATATATAAGGGCAAGGGAGCTTATTTCTGGCTCCTCATTTTGGGGGACAAGGGGATTTAGTTAGGGCTTCAGGTTACTTACTTAGGTGAGCCTCTATCTAAAATAAGATTGGAGAGGCAGTTCCTTTTAGAAGTTTCCGGAGTGAATGCTTAATTGCGGATACCACTCAGGGAATGTATTGGTTTCCTCACTTCTTGTGCACTTCAGTCACCTAGACTGTGGTGAGAAGCTCCACTTCTGGCCTGTCCCTTGTGACTTCTGGTGCTGTTAGATGAAAATAGCTCTATAAGCCACAGGCTTGTTACTGAACAGCATTCTACACGTCCAGAGACTGACAGTTAAGAGACACTGGATTTACACTGCGTGGACTGAGATGGTGCATTGGTTAAGCGCTCAGCTGTTAACCAATGGTTGAACCTCCCTGCCCATCTGTGGGATAGTGGTGGCTTTGGGAGGTGTACAGAGGCCTTTCCTGTGTTCCAGGCTGTTGTGAGGTGGCGTCTACCCTCAGCAACCAGCTGAGCTTTGCTTCTGGTAGCTTTGTGCAGAGCGAGTTAACTTGAACCTAAGGTTAGTCTTTGAGCTTTGATTCTCCCTTCATGCCTCTGCCATGTTGGCTGTAATTTGTGAGATGGAAGAACAAACTCTCTGTCTGGATACCTTAGAGAGCAGCGTGTCTGCACATGTAACAGCAGGATGGGCAGAAGAGGAAGTGCGGACCTGGCGGTCTGTAGCTCGGCATGGGAATCTTCAGGGGACATCACACAGAGAGGTCTTGGCACGCCAGCTCTTACAGGCTCCCGGCTTTTAAGATCTGTTCCTTTGCCCAGAGTTCCAGATGTCACATCTGCTTTATTTGGGTGCTGGGTGTATAAAATGGCCAGGGCCGACTTCACAGCTGTGTGGCCACTCAGAACAGCGTTCCATCTTTTCAGGACAAGATCAGGAGAGGAAAACCTTGAGGTTTGCATCGGCTTGGGCTCAGCTATGGAAGGCCTTTCCCTCTTCAGATCAGCGGACATGATTGGTGTGTTGAGCTGCAGGGGAGCAGGAAATAAGGAAGGTCCTTCTCCTTTGGCCCTAAGCAAGCATTTACTGCCAGTAGCCGTTTCAGAAATGAGTGACTTTGAATCTGCCGGGTGGAAATCCGGGCTGTGGGTCTCACTGCCTGTCTCCTGTCACAGGGGGTGTGATCGCCTACATCAGCTCTTCCAGCTCTGCCTCGAGCCCTGCCTCGTGCCACAGCGAGGGCTCCGACAGCAGCTTCCAGTCCTCCTCCTCCGTCCCCTCTTCTCCAAACAGCTCCAACTCCGATAACAATGGCAATCCCAAGATTGCCGAGCTCGCCAGTATTGAGGGCATCTTGAAGAATGATCGACTTGACTGCTCTGTGAAAACAAGCAAATCAAGCGTGCCTGGGGTGACAAAGAGTCACAGTGGGATGACAAGTAAGTTCCTTTACGTTGTTCTAAATGCTGCCACTGCTGTTATATCAGCCTTTCAGTCAGAGGACCACTAGAAGTCCACTTTCTCGGCCTCTGGGAAATCCTAGGTTGCTACGTAGGTTTGAGATCCTCTCGACAGCTCAGCTGATTGTTGTCCCAGAGCGGGACATGTGGGTCTGCCCTCTCCTGACCATGTTTCCCCAGGAGGCTGCCTCTTACACATTCTCACAGATGCCTTCATTCTGGGTGTCTGGTATAGACTCTTAGCCATAAAAGAGTACTTCTCTGTAGCAGGGGTTCATTCATAAAGCACAGCTGGGACCTGGGATTAGGGAACACACAGGATTGAGAGAACCCCCGAGGAGTGGGCTTTGGTTTTCGGCTCCATGTGAAGGTCAGAAGAGCTGGGGCAGGAGCAGGCCAGGACCAGTGGGGCCTGCCTGACTGCCGTGTTTGGCTGGGACATGTGCCTTGGAACATCCCTAGGCATCTTCTGTTGGGCTTCTCTGCCTCACTCCTTAATTCTGCCCTGTAAGGGTGGTTTTCATAGTTCCAGTGGCATGTCTGGTTTAAAGCAACTTGAGATTTAAAAAATTTCAGTGTTCAAAATTAAAACTATTATAAAAAGGAAAAACCCAGTTCCTTAATGTAGTTTTGGCAGTTCAGAAGACATATTTAAAAGAAAACAATGATATCTTGTATTTGATAATTTAATGTTAATCTCTATAAAGGTAGATTTTTTAAAAAACGTGTACTCCAAATTGAACACAGTATTGAGTTGAAAGAAAGCAAATGGTTTTCATACACTCAGTAGTGTTTCTGTGGCTTTTGACTTTGTCTGTTTCTGTCCCAGAGTTCAGCGGCATGGTTCTGCTGTGTAAAGTCTGTGGGGATGTGGCGTCCGGATTCCACTATGGAGTTCACGCTTGTGAAGGATGCAAGGTAAAGCGTGTGCTTGTTTCTTTAAGCTAATGTCTGAGAATGTGCAGGGGAGAGAGAAACCAGTTGCTCTTGTGAAGTTTTTTTTTTTTTAAAAAATATGGAAAAAAAAATATGGAACGCTTCACGAATTTGCGTGTCATCCTTGCGCAGGGGCCATGCTAATCTTCTCTGTATCGTTCCAATTTTAGTATATGTGCTGCCGAAGCAAGCACTCTTGTGAAGTTTTAAACATGTCATGCAGAATGTAAACATTTTTACACTTTATATCATTTATGTAGCGTGTAAGACATTTAATGTGGTATACAAGCATAATTTGTTTTGACAAATATTTTTACTTCCGTTACAGTACATGTTTTCTCTGTAATATTTTGATTAAAATGCCTTGGCTATCTCAGTTCTCAGCAGAGCTCTGGTGCCCTAGTGTTAAGGAATTGCACTGACAGCCCAAAGATAAGAGGTTTGAATCCACCAGCTGCTCCACAGGAGGAGGGTGGGCCGTTAAACTGCCTGTGGAAACTCCCTGGAAGGTTCGCCATGGGTCGATTACCACCACTTAGTGGTTCACAATGACAACAGCAAAGTCTCTGTTAAAAACATTGCAGTGGTCAAGAAGTAAGCACACAGACAGTTATTCGTGTGTGTGTCAGTCATCCCAGGTTGTAGTGACATTGCACGGCACCACACGGACCAGGCACTAATGTCTTGTTGGAACTTGGTTTAAACAAAACTTCACGTTTCGTCAGATTCTTTGACATTCTGACATGTCAGACACTGAGAGTTGGGGAGCAGTGGTCTGTAGCAAGTTGTACTGCCAACCCAAATACCGTGTCATTGGCAGTTGGAATCCACAGGAGGTTGGGAGTACTCTACTTCCTGTCGTTTCTAGCCTGGGAAACCCAGGAGAGGGTCCACTGGTCGTGACGGCCAGGAGTTTGAGTTGTGAAGATGTGGTGTCTTCAAAAGTAATTCCAAAGAAATAAGATCATAATCTTAGGTGTAAATTGAGTGCTTGGGAAAGCTAGATTTAATTTGTAAATTTGGTGGCACATTTTGCAGAGTGTTGGTCAGATAATTCCATTTGAGATTCTCTTCTCTACATTTCAGGAATAATATTTTTTTTAAAAAAAATTCTGGCACTATCTTTTCTCCTAAGTATTAAAAATAAACATAGCGAAACACTTGTTCTCACAGTTTTCTGACTTCAAGCCAGAAACAAGTCCAATTTGGCCTGGGATGGTGGGTGAGTGAGATAATGAATATATAGGCTGACAGAGGAAACCTTTCCCACTAGCTCTGGAGGCCTTGGTAATTCTAGATGGTTGGCTAACGTCACGAAGCTGTTAAATCAGTTCTTACTTAGAAGGACCCTGGGGGACAGATTGGACTCGTCCTGACAAGGTGATCTTTTCTTACGGGAGGATGGTGAGAGTCCTTCCTCCCCCTGGATCTGCCGAGCCTGGACTGGTCACCTGTCATCTGGCAGAAGAGTGCTTAATGATTACACCACCAGGGGTCCTTTCACAAGACTGGCCAGTATTTTATGTAGATAGAGCACTTCCTTACCTTAGCAAAGTTTTAGAAATGTTTTGTTGTTTTTTTTTTTTTTAAAAAGAATATGAAGTAATTGTGGTGGGTATTGTTTTCACTTTATAGATAAGAAAAACAGGCGAGCTCTGGTGGCCTAGTGGTAGGAAACTGCACTGCAATCCCAGAGGTGTGTGGTTCAAATCTACCAGATGCTCTGCTGAAGAAGGAGGGACAATCTCCTCCTGTACCAGTCAGATCCAATTTGACGGTACACA